AATCGCCCTCTCTCTCTTTGGTTCGTCCCTTGGGTGTTTGGGATCCAAAACCCAGCTCTCCCCTTTCCTTTTGGCTGAAAATCTGCTTAAAAGGGCATCAGTGGCCAAAGCACGGTCGAGGGCACGGCCGTGTAATGCCTCAGCCCGCCCGTGCTTTGGCTAGGGTTAATTACACGGCCAGTGCATTGGGGGAAACACGGCCGTGCTTTAGAGAGAATACGGCCGTGCTTTGGGAGAACACGGCCGTGCTTTCAGCCCGTGTAATCAGCTCATGTTTGCCAAACTCGAATTAGCTCTCGGCAGTAAAAGCACGGCCACAGAACACGGCCGTGTTTTGGAGAGAACACGGCCGTGCTTTGGGAGAACACGGCCGTGTAATGAATTAGGTGTGCCCGTGTTTTGGCTCCAGCTCGACGAAATGACTTCCGAATGCCCCGAAACTCGTGCTTAGCCTTTCCTTTGACGCCTGGGACCTGAAATATGACAAAATAGCACAACCCGGCGTAAAATAGGCCAAAAGTACACATATGCCCCTCAAACGGATAAGAACTAGGGGCGCAAATATGTGCAATTACATCGTTATCAAACTCCCCCACACTTAACCGTTTGCTTGTCCCCAAGCAAACCTAACTCAAACCAATGCAACTCTCCAGACCTCTATAGCAACAAACAACCCAGATCGTAGGTAGAGGACTTTCTAGATCATTTAGCAGCTTACGAGGTCAACCGACGCACAAGTCATCTCATAGCTCCTTCGGCGAGAGCACTAGTATCGAGTCGGCATCATGGCAAATAGTGAACAGAGGACAAATGAATTGTGGATGAAGAGATTCTCAAAAACAAAAGATCATGGACTCACATTTTTCAAGGTGCTCTATATTCTTTGAAGATGGTTGGAACCCCTTTTCTTTCTGTTTTGCTTGTTTTATGTGATTTTTTTTCAAGGGTCCCAACCGGCTCTTACCGGCCATGCCAGGAGCGGATGTCTCGAGCCTCGTGCGGGGAAAGACATGTAAGGGGGCTGGAGGTAGTAGGTGGATATTGGGAACGGATTCCTGTCTCCCCTTACACCCTTTCGCCCTATTCGCACGGGAGACGTTATTTTGAAGCACATTTTCGAGCACCTGTTATTTTCAAAGCATGATACAAGAGTCCATGACAGGCAGAGAATCCACAACACCACACAATTCAAGGGTCCTAAGATCACTAATTCACTCAATCAACCAACACAATATGAAGAAGAAATGAGATTTCTTAAATGCATCAACATCCTCCATAGTGCTACACTACCTCCCTAGGTTGCATATTACTATAAAGACTGTCAATTCAAAGCATACTGAGCAGGCAATTGCAAGGAACACGTACTTGGAGCCCTCAAATTTAAAAATTTGGACAGTGGACTAGGCTCCAAGCACACAAACAGCCAAACATTCACCCGCATAAATAATCGAACATCCCCCCACACTTAAGCACGACATTGTCCTCAATGGAGGAAAGATAAGGAGGGTAGAACGAAGTTACCAGATCAAGGGTGAATGATGATGAACGGGTCAGGCGGTGCATTCCAGAAAGAGAGAGTAATCAGAACACAAACACCACACAAAATCTCACAAAGGTTGAGTTATTGACTCTAAAATCAAATAACAAAACTGACTCAACCGAGGAGAAATAGAGAAAGAAATGCAAACCGACTGGTTGGGTTGCCTCCCAACAAGCGCTTCTTTCACGTCGTGAGCCAGACGATGGCTCCTAAGTTTCGGTCCATGCTAGAACCTCCTTGAAGTTGAGGTTCTCGTCGATGAGGTGGAGTCTCAAGTCACGAGCATGTGGTGTGGCAGGTGATGAAGGCTCATGTACTTGATGCAGATGAAGTCTCCACCCTCGAGACCTCTTCTACTCTTCTCTCGTCTCATTGCCCCAAACCAGATATGACAGCATCGATTGGCCACCATCGCGTCCACCAAGAGGGACCGATTTCGATGTGGCTTTGGTCTGGCAAAGAGACACTGCAAATGGGTCCTTGCTAAGCAGTTCCTCAAAGTTTGGTGGAGATATCAAATGTAACTCATGGCCGGTGCAAGCCTCTTCCACCTCAACTTCGTCCTCAGCCTGGACGCCAATTGCTTCTTCAACCTCCCTTCCTTCTTCATGTGGTATCACCCCTGGGAAATGATCAAGAACTTCTCCAGCTTCACTTTCGTCATCCTCCACAACTTCTTTCTACACCCTTTCTTGCTCTTCTTCTTCTAGCACGGATTGGAGAGCAAGTTGCCAAGCAATTTCTTTCATGAGATCTTCTTGCATCTCCTCACTCATGCCCTCCTCTTCAAAGCTCAGTTTGGGGTGTGGGAAGGTGTGGTCGGCTACGACATGACACTCCTGATCATGATCATCACGGGAGCTCTCCGTGACAACTTCAGTGTGCTCCACAATGTCCTTGTAGCCTTCTTCTTCCTCCTCCTCTTCTTGTATAGTAGCAGAAGGGTGATCTGGAGCAGGTTGTGCCCAAGATCGCTCAAGATCATCGACGCTCTTCTTAAGGTTCATGAGGATCTCCTCTGTTTCACGATAGGCCTGGACACAATGATCCATCCTGGAGCATGATCTCTCCATGAGAAGCCTCAATTCATAGTGTGGATCTGGCTGTGGAGTGTAGCATGGCTCTGCAGAATGGCCCGTGAAGGCCGCCATGGGTAACTCCAGCGCCGATGGCCCTTCTGGTTGTGGGAGAAATTCTTCTTGGTAATGAGGTTGTTCTTGATATGCCCAGGGGTCCGGTTGTTCTCCGTAGTAAGGGGGTTGGTACTGGAACCCGAATCCATAGTCTTCTCCTCCTTGATTGCTCCAGGGAGTCTCGGGGTAATACCACTCGGGTGGTGGTGGATACCCCCAATTGTTGGAGAAGCCATGAGGATCCATGATTCAGATCTGCACCAACAAAAAAAAAACACCCAAGTGAAAAGCAAGGGTGGAAAAGAAAAGAAAAACGCTAAAGTAATAAACTTCTGCCTTTCTTAATACTCTAGAAAGTCCCCGGCAACGGCGCCAAAAACTTGACTCGCTATGACACAACACCTAACAATGGCCAAGCGTAACCAATGGAAGGGACTGCAGTATAGTGGCTCAAGTGATAAATATCGAATCCACGGGTCTCTAGAGTTACTATTACTCAGCTTCAGTTTATTATTTAGCAAACCAGATCAAGATGAAAGAACTAAAACTACTCTAGCAAACTACAGTTAAAGTTAATCTAATTACAGGTTGGGAACTCACTTAGGTATGATTCCCCCTAGCCACTAGCCAGACTAACGATTGATGATTTCTAACTTGTTTCACTTTCATTCACAATGCGGAGAATCCTTTACTAGACCTTGAGTCTCGACTAAAGGAACAAGGCCCTCTTGAGTCAATTGCCTAGAGGGACGTATCCTTCTCTAGAACAAATGATCAAGGCGTTCTGAACTACACTCCCTCTATCAAAAGAGGTTCTCAATCGATACAAAGCAGTGAATCAACCCTCGACTAAAGCAATCGATCCACTACTATCAATCTATGGTGCTCTATTGACCTAATCAGGTATTCCCTCTCATAGGATCAAAGCAGAATCAATAATCTCGACTAAAGCAGAATTGAATCATGAAAACATGCATAGATTGAATATGAACTCAAGATAATCAAGTCAGAGTACTCATACAATCATCCAATCAAACAAACATAGCTAGGGTTCCTCAAAACCTAAGTGAAGGGAAGTTACTCCATAGAGAAGAGAGAGACTGCAGTAAGAATCTTCAGATGATCAGTCTTCAAGTCCGGGCTTCTTCCTCGAGCTTCCAAGGCAAAGAAATCCTCCAATTCCACTCCAAGAATGCCCTCAAATCGCCCTCTCTCTCTTTGGTTCGTCCCTTGGGTGTTTGGGATCCAAAACCCAGCTCTCCCCTTTCCTTTTGGCTGAAAATCTGCTTAAAAGGGCATCAGTGGCCAAAGCACGGTCGAGGGCACGGCCGTGTAATGCCTCAGCCCGCCCGTGCTTTGGCTAGGGTTAATTACACGGCTAGTGCATTGGGGGAAACACGGCCGTGCTTTAGAGAGAACACGGCCGTGCTTTCAGCCCGTGTAATCAGCTCATGTTTGCCAAACTCAAATTAGCTCTCGGCAGTAAAAGCACGGCCACAGAACACGGCCGTGTTTTGGAGAGAACACGGCCGTGCTTTGGGAGAACACGGCCGTGTAATGAATTCGGTGTGCCCGTGTTTTGGCTCCAGCTCGACGAAATGACTTCTGAATGCCCCGAAACTCATGCTTAGCCTTTCCTTTGACGCCTGGGACCTGAAATATGACAAAATAGCACAACCCGGCGTAAAATAGGCCAAAAGTACACGACTATGCCCCTCAAACGGATAAGAACTAGGGGCGCAAATATGTGCAATTACATCGTTATCAAGGGTTCTAGTGAAACCATGTGATTCGGGCCTAATTGTACACTTTTTACCCCTTATTATCTTTGACATTTGTTGCAAATGAACTCCAAAAATGTTGGTTTTAAGTGGGGTTAATTGCATGGTTGATCACTGAGATTGCAAAAAACGTTCAAGTTTGGTCACTCGAAATATTTAAATCCATTGGTGGTATTTCAGTTTACTAAAACCGTTCACGTTTGGTCACTCTCCGTCCAACTCCGTTAACTTTGGCTGATGTGGCAGTCAACTCTCAAAGTTGACCATTAACTTAGTGACGTTGCAATTAAAAAATGATAAATAAAATAAATTTATTCTATTTTAATGTCCAACTCATTTTTAATATAAAATAAAAAATAAAATATTTATTTTTTGGGCGAAACCTTCTTTCATCCCACATCTGGTCGGGGTGGGACTCTACCACCATTTCCATCCCGAGTTCTATAGGTTTGATGAAAAATGGAAACTTACAAGGTTCGCCATGAATGGCAGAATGGAGCTGATGAGCTGTAGAGAAACACTCCGGCCGAAGATCTCGTCGAAGCGATGGAAGCGTTGAACTCCAAAACATTCTTCTTCATCAGCACCACCGTGCTTTTGATTTCCCTCTTCTGGCCGCCATTGTCATCGTGGTTGTGGCCACTCAAGGCAGCAATGATGCTTTGCATGCTTTTGGCAATACCGCAGCAGCACCAACAACAGCAATACTCCTCCTCATGCTGCTCCGACGCCGTTTCGGCATGGAGATCAAGATTTCGCGGCTGCCAGCTTGACGCCCTCCATCAAACCTATAGAGCTCGGGATGGAAATGGCGGTAGAGTCCCATTCTGACCAGATGTGGGATGAAAGCAGGTTTTGCCCAAAAAATAAATATTATTTTATTTTATTTTATTTATTTATTTTATGGTAAAAATGAGTTGGACATTAAAATAGATTAAATTTATTTTATTTTTTATTTTTTAATTGTCACGTCACTAAGTAAACGGTCAACTTTGAGAGTTGACGGCCACATCAGCCAAAGCTAACGGAGTTGGACGGAGAGTGACCAAACGTGAACGGTTTCAGTAAACTGAAGTACCACCAATGGATTTAAATATTTCGAGTGACCAAACTTGAACGTTTTTTGTAATCTCAATTACCAACCATGCAATTAACCCGTTTTACGTGAGGTTGCTTGTGTTTTAGTGTGCTTCAGATCCTAACAAGTAAAACCAAACCCGGAGTCGAAAGTTTGTAGAACAAAGGAGCAAACATCGGGCAAAGAGGTGGAGACAGCCGCAGTTCACGGCCAAACGTTGTTGTTCATGGTCTCACTGGACCGTGAAATAGAGCCATGCTTTTTGAAGTGAGGAGCAAACAGAGGGGTTTTCAGTATACTGACGCCCAGTAAGTTCACGCTTGCTAAGACCGTGAACAGGGGCCACTGATCGTGAACCCAAGCAAATGAAGCGGTGCGTTTTGGTCGCAGCGCTGAGTTCACGGACGCGTTTCAATGTTCACGGCCGTGAACTCAGCGCGATCTCCCACTTAAAAGGAAAGCTGAAGGGAAGAAGAAAGGGGGAGACCTAGAGTGAGAAAACTTCTCTTTCTTCAGATTTTAGAGTAAGAAAGTGACAAACCAAAGAAGAGGAAAAGCTAGTGTTTGATCTCCAAGCAAGGATTTGTGTTTTCTTCAGCACAAGGAGCAAGGTTTGCATCTTCATGATGGTTTTCCTTTCCCAATTTTATGTTTTCCCTTCTCGTAACATGGAGTAGTCCCTTATTTCATTTGGGTGTTTGTAAACCCTAGCTGCAATTATGTGAATGCTTGTATGAATTGAATGATTTGTGTGTGGTTGTGTTTTAATGTGAATGTGGAGGTATTATTCAGAAATGATTGTGTTGTGTGAAAGCCTATCAATCTAATTGCCAATTAACCTAGATTAGAGAGGAGACCTCCTTAGGTTAGGAGGTTCATTGGGTGTTCTTGGGCATTTCAAGCCTCCTAGGCTAGTTTAGAGAGGAAACCTCCTTAGTCTAAGAGGCTCATTATTGAGATGGGGTTCTTGGGCATTCCATGCCTCCTAGGCTAGTTAAGAGAGGAAACCTCCTTCACCCAAGAGGTTTGGTTTCCTTGGGCATTCAAAGCCTCCTAAACTAGTTTAGAGAGAATCCTCCTTAACTTAAGAGGCTCATTTCGAGATGGGTTTCCTTGGGCATTTAATGCCTCCTAATATAGGTTAGAGCGAACCCTCCTTAACTTAAGAGGCTCTACTAGATATGGGTTGCCTTGGGCATTCTATGCCTCCTAGTCTAGGTTTGTTAAAGGGCAAACCTCCTAATTCGTATTAAACACTTAGGGTTTGGTTGTAGGTGGCTGTCTGAACTCCAATTTCAGGGTGATGTCCAACCATTCCTTAGTCGATAGGTTGAGAGGGTCACATTAGTGATTTGGATCGTATCCCATTCCTCAACCTAGAGTCTAAGAGGTTAACTTTGGTTGCTTGTTAGACTTCTTTGCGGTTTATGGCCCCTTAACCACACACTATCATTTGATTCTTCAAGTCATAATTGTTAGCTAGGGGGAGCAACACCCGGGTGAAGCTTTCTCAACTAGGGTCAAATCCATTTTACATTTGCAAAGTAATTTAGTTTTCAACAAAACTTATCTGCTAGATAATGTTTCAAACAGTCGAAGTAGCAGTACATGGACCGGCCCGGGTCGATATTTAAACATATTTTCCCTATATTGCACCCATCTAAGGTTTATACTTGGACCTTAGGTGGAATTTTATTGTGATAGTAAGAGCGAGTCAAGTTTTTGGCGCCGTTGCCGGGGACTTCGGTTCGTTATCATGAAAAGTTTGTTTGGTGTTAAGCTAGGTTTTAATTTCAGTTTGGTTAAGTTGTGAGGTGTTTTCTCGTGTTAGACGTGCTCTGTTCTTTGAGTGTGTGTAGGGAGGTGCATGTCCCAGAGCAATCCGGCGCCTTTAACACCACTAGACGAGGACATCAACCGGACCCTCTGACTTCTAGCTCGAGTGAGGGAGCAAGAGGAGGAAAGAAGGAGAACTGAAGAAAATGGACAACGAGTTAATCCCAGAATTGAAGTAATTGAAAGAGGAGTTGTAGTGGAGATGGCGGCAAATCAACATCGAGGGGCTAATCCACTTCCAAACCCAAATGGCTCCACGGGTGGTGAAATCCAATCTCACGTCTTACATCCACCCGTGGCTGCCAACAACTTTGAGATCAAGCCCTCTCTCGTGACGATGATTCAACAAAATGCTTACTTCCACAGGCTATACCATGAATCACCACAACAGCATGTCCAAAGGTTTCTTGAGCTAGTGGGAATCTTGAAGATTAATGGCGTCCCCGAGGAGGCATTATGATTGAAGCTCCTCCCCTATTCTTTGGCGGGGAAGGCACTCTGATGGCTCAACAACCGTCCGGATCTATCCATCACCTCTTGGGACGATCTCATCAACCAGTTCATGACCTGATATTGTCCTCCTTCCAAGACGGCGAGTGGAGGAAGAAGATCACTCGCTTTGAGCAAGAGGAGGATGAGACATTGAGGGATGCATGGGAAAGTTTCTCTGACTACTTTCTTCAATGCCCTCACCATTAATTCGAGGAGTGATTTTGGATAGAAACTTTCTATGGAGGACTCATTCAAGATGACAAGATCCTCATTGACTCTCTATGCAAAGGGAGGTTGATGAACATGACCCCTCCTCCAGTGACCGAATTGCTCGAAGATATAGCTCTTAAGGGATATGATTGGGGCATGACAAGAAGTGGGAAGAGAAGCAATGAAAGAGGAGTAAGAAGTGTGGGAGCGAGTGCTCCACTTGAAGCGAAGGTTGATAAGTTGATCGAGGTGATCCTTGAGGATAAGAAGCAAGGGAAGAGAGCGGTGAGGTCTTGTGATTGGTGTTCGATCACCAATCACAAAATTGCAGATTGCCAAGCGATGAAGGAGTCAAGTACCCCCGAGAAGCAAGTGAGTTTCATTGCCAATGCTAGAGGGAACAACCCTTATAGCAACACCTACAACCCCGAGTGGCGCAATCATCCAAACTTCACTTGGTCTTCCCCTACCAATCCAAGACCTCCCGGTTTCCAAGGTTCAATGGGTAACTGCCAACCTCGGCCAATATTCATCCAACAAAGGCCTCAATTCAAAAACTCAAACTTCCAACAACCATACCAAGCACAAGGCGGTCAAGGTTTTCAACAACAACAAGGTGACAAATTCTCTACACTTGAAGACCTTGTGAACGCCTTTGTGAAGACAAGTTCGATAAGATTGAACAATTCATGGATGTGGCAACTTCCAAGTTTACCTCGGTTGAGGCGGGACTCCAAAGCCATCAAGCGAGTCTCCAAAACTTGGAAGTGAAAATTAGCAATCTTTCCGAGATCCTCACCGGGTGACCAAAGGGAGCCCCTCTTAAACCAGTGCCAACCCCAAAGCTCAAGTTGGGTGCAATGCGATTTACTTGAGGAGAGGGAAGGTGCCCCGGAGGTCGTTGCCAAAGAAGTGAATGAGAAGGAAGACCCTCTACCCAAGGGTGAAGAAGAGGAAGTCTCGGGAGAAAAGAGAGGAGTGGCGAGGAAGGAATTGCCGACGGCACCACCCGTGGCTGAGTACATGCCACCCCTACCTTTTCCCACGAGAGTGCACAAGAAAAGATTGGAAGCGGAATGTGGAGATTTCATGGAGATGCTCATAAAGCTCCACCACAACATTCCCTTCCTCGAAGCGATGGCCCACATGCCAAGGTATTCAAGATACCTCAAGGGGTATCTCTCCAAGAAGCCGAAGTTTGAAGACCTCGCCAATGTCACCTTAGGCGAGGAGTACTCATCATTCATCCTCAATAAGTTGCCCAATTAGCAACCCGATCCAGGTAGTTTCACTATACCTCTTTGCATCAATTCTCATCACACAGAAAATTCCTTGGCGGACTTAGGGGCGAGCATAAATGTGATGCTATATAAGCTTTTCAGGAGGCTAGGCATATGTGAACTAAAAAATACAAGTCTTAGTGTTACATTGGCCGATCGCTCTGTCATTAGTCCTAGGGGCATAGTGGAGGACATGCTAGAACGAGTGGGGAAATTTTGTTATCCAACGGACTTTGTGATCCTAGATATAAGTGAGGATTCTAAAATGCCACTCATACTAGGACGCCCTTTCCTAGCCACCACCAAGGCATTAATTGATGTAAATGAGGGAACTTTGATCTTGAGGGATGGTGAGGAGACAATTACTCTTGGAATTGATCATAAGCCTAGGAGTGAGGAAGTGAAGGAAGTTGAACTGGGTGATATGAATGCAAGTGGAGCGAAGCCTTGCAAGGTGAACCCCACTATTACTGTTGGTTCTTGTGATGATGTGAAGCAAGAAAGCAAGAAGGGCATCTCGCCCAAGGAAGGAAGGAAGAAAGTAGCTTGGAGGGAAAGGTTAAGTCGTGTTAATGCCCGGTGGAAGGTTAAGGGCAAGGCAAAAGTGATGGGACAAGAAGGCCATCTGATGGAGCTTAAGTTGGGAGGCAACATGCCTTGCCCCGAGAACGTGGCGGGTCACTCTCGGTGGCTTCATGTTCCAAAACATGATAGATTCGCAACGTCAAGCTAGTGACTTTAACTTAGCGCTTGTTGGGAGGCAACCCAATGGAGGTTTGTTTTCTTTTCCTTATTTTTGTTTTTGTGTGTCAAGTCAAGAGTTCTAGTGGTCGAGTGGTATCCCCATGCCAAGTTTTGTGGTTGTGCGTTTTGAGGTTGTGTCGTGATCGATAGAAGGTATGGTGGATTAGGTCGAGTCAAATTTTTTTTTCGAA